TCTCCATATAATGCACTTTACGTTTCAAGTCCAAAAGACAGTTTCAGTGCAAACTACAAACTGTTCAAAAGGGCTTTAAACGATTCCAGACGATGAATAAGGGTCTTATCAAGCGAAACGATCGCTCATTTTTTAAAAAAAAAAAAAAAAAAAAAAGTTTTATAAGCTCAAATGGTCGCCTTGCTCTGTTCTGTGATGCACATTCGTGACTCTCCTGTTCGAACAAATCTTTTTTCGAGTCATTTGGTTCATTAAACGAACGAAATGAACGAATTGACTCGGGAACAGATTCGTTCATTTTGATGAACGAGTTCGAACGAGTAAAGTGCATTATATGGAGAAAACTTTTTTTTTTTTTTTAAAGTGAACAACTCCTTTAAGAACGGGATCAGTTTGATTTTCAAAGGAATTCAGACCTGTTTTGTGAAGCAGATCAAATGATTCAATAAAAATATCTAAGTTAGAATAATTATTTATTCACAAATGTCTTTCTTTCATAAACTCTTTTGAATGCAAATATCATATGGATGATTTGTTGATGATTTATAGTATTGGCATCTTTGAAATCTTCAGTTTCAGCTCATTACAATTGCATGGAGAAGAGCATGGAAACAGTCCTCACAATTTCTTTCAGTGTTCTGTGATAGAAAGGTTACATAAAGACAGCTAAATTATGACAGAATTTTCATTTCTAGATGAAATATTCCTATAATCCTACAATGTTGATTTTCTACACAAACTGTTCCTGCTTCTCTTTAGTCACAACAGCATTATTACTTTTTTATTGCGCTATGCTACTCTTGAGGTACTAAAAAACAAGCAGGTTAGTGTAATGTTGCAAAGATGTCCAAGCTTTATGTTGCAAAACATCAATTTCTATTTATTCACTAGGATCCCAGATCCAGGTATCATCGAACACCATTGTCAAGCGGAAGCAGGCATTAGCGGCATTAGCGCACATACCCCTTTGCAGTTCGTTCTGTAAATCATCCATGCGACGACAAAGCCCCAGATCTGCTCACCAAATAATAGGACACAGACAATGTGAATATTGGAGCTGGCCAGGTGCAATGAGCTTCCCTATCTCCCCTCGGAGCTAATGGACCAATATGGGAGAATGGAAATTGATTCAAGCTAGTCAGTAAATTAAGAATTCACCGCATTCATTTTGTTTGCGTGTGTTGTGTGGATGTATTGTTTATTGGAATTCGAATTTCGTAGGTAATTGGGGATGTAGAAAATGTAAACAAGAATAAACGCTGCTTTGCTTTTAATAATGCCAATGAATCTCGCTGTTGTCCTTTCAGTGCTGTGCCTCTCAAGACAATAGGCAGAGAAGTGACAATTGTGTGATAGAGATATTTAGACAACAGTAGGAGTTGTGGGAGAATTATATGAATTCTGTTTCATATATGAGCAACATCGCATGAGTAGCCGTGCAATATCACTCTATGCTAGGCGATCACAGTTGTCCTGTTGCAGAGCCATATTGATATGCGTGTGCCGTGTGATATTGCATTTATTCGACGACACGTGTCTTTAAAAAACACCACGAATTCAAACGTGACTCCCCCATTCCTGTTAATTGGAATTACTTGCCTCTCTGAAATCAGACTTAACAGTTTCTTCTGTATTCGCGAATTCATTCTTGGTTTAACAGACTTTAAATCTGAATTCTGAGTTTAACTATGATAATCAAGAGAAATTGTTGGAGAAATTGCGCTTCGGTATCTGGTCAGTTAAGATCCATTCACTTATATATCTATCGATGAACTGTGAAAGCATGTCATTTCTAACGGTCCCATTACGGGAAAGGATTACTTACCTGTTCATGCTCACCACATCCCTGGATGTTTTGGAATCAAGCTCTCAGGAAGAATGCTTTCTATTAATCTCATATCGTCTTTTAGAAGTGAAAATAATCACCGTCTGTGTTTGAATTCTCACTACTGGTGGATTTTCTGTTTAGAAATCTGGGTATAAACTATCCTCCAAATTTGGGGTTTCTTACACCTATGATATCAGAAAGTGTATTGATGAATTCGGTGAAACAAGCGCAAATTTCGAGAGCTAAAAATGGGACAGGCTATAAGCTTTATTGAGTGAAATGTGCTCAGATGTGAATTAAGGATTCAATTTTTTTAAACGACATGCAAATGTACGGGTGTAATTCAAGGTCTTGAGTGTTACATCATGTCCTTGGTACTACAAGACTTATACATTATAGAGTTTGTTCAGAAATGCATAAAGGTTTTTTTGACGTGGAATATAAGCCTCAAAATTAAGAATTCTCTATGTACAGTGAAATCCAGAGAGCTGAAAAGAAGCCAGTTTTTTGGTACATAATAATTTTGCTTTGACACAGTGCAGATTTTGCCTTGTATGGGCCACCACAGGTAATCTTTTATTGCCTGAAAATAGCCAACAAAAGAACATGCCAGCACCACACACACCCACAGGCCTAGGTCTCTAAAGCCAAACATTTAAGGCTAGAGGTGAGAAGGGTTATCAAAACTCTTCAACTGGATTCCATGCTTTTTTCCAGGTTTTCTAATCTTTCCATATGGCTGGTTTAAAGGGATGCCCATGTGTCTGCGTGTGCATCGGTGGAAAGAGATTGTGGTAATCCATGGGTGTAGGTACAAGTGGCCATGAGGGAGTTTATGAGGACAGTCCAGAGAATGCTAAGTCCAGACTGGAGTCTGAATGACAGATAACACAAACTTAAGCTTGTAGAAGCCCAGAGGAGCCCAAGCATGGATAACACACCTCAAAGTACCGCAGAGATGTGCGTTTTTGTGCTGGTTTCTATAAAAAAACTCTTCATGAGAACACATCTTCTTCAATAGCTGGAGTACCTGCTGCCATACCACCCCAGTTAGAATATTCCAATACAGTCCTCAATTACATTATTTCTTCTTGCACAGCTCTCTTAAATACTCAATTCTGATGGGTAAATAATGTAATACAACAACTGTCTTCCAAAGTGTTTTTTTTTTTTTTTTACTGATTCGATTTGTTTGTCTTAAAGCAGCTGTATGTAAGAAATTGATTTCAAATAATCATAAAATGGCCCTGATATGTCACTAGACATTAAGAATCATAAAACATAAAAAATCATAAAAAATATAACAAATCATGTTCATTTCAAATACTTATATCACCGACAATAGCAGTCCGGCCAGGATATTGTCATTTATAAAGTGAATTTGCAGCCCTCAACTGTCATGTTGTGTTTATGCTGCGTTCAAGTCATCTCATGTAGATCGTAATTACGAGTTGAACGCACTTGAACGCCACCACAAAGTCGTAAATACCAGTGGGGAGCTCAGGAATTTCTTTAAGCCCCGATCTGTACGAGTTGGGGGCGTGTCAGTGAGAAACGTTCATTCAACGTCTGTTGACGGTAAATTTTAATTGAATTTTAATGTTTACTCATTGACATTGTAAGGCTTTTTCATTTATAAAGCAAGCTTTCTGCAACAAAATATGATATCATTATAATATAAAAATTATACCTAATGATAGAGTTTACATTGGCTTCTTAAGCTAATAAAAACATAAAAAGAAAACACACCTGATGCGCATTCTTTGTTCTTCATTTTTTTTTTATTAGCAGAGATAACAAACCTTGCTGTATTTTCGTGTAATTCATTAAAAGAAGGTACACCGCCATTTTGCTCCGACGAAACTGACTTGAACGCACCTCACGTCGTAAACACGACTTCCCACCTCGTATGTACGAACTTCCCAGGAGGACTTGAACGCAGCATTTGGTCTGATGCTCCACCTTCCACCGATCTACCAATCACAAAATCAGTAGTGTTGCAGCATTCGGGTTGCCAGCTTTGCTCTAGTTACCACATCTGCAGATACAAAACTGTTTGATCCTGCAGCGTATCTGGCAACCTCGAGTCAGGGGGGAGTGGGAGGGGATACACTGCTCTACAGTAATTTGAAATTGATTGCAGTACCAGTTTTGGCCACAATCTTACATACAGCTCCTTTAATCTTTGATGGTCTAACTTACATTTTGTTTGACAAATTCTGTTTTTAAAGTTAAACTATTTAACATGAAAACGTCTGTACAACTAATGACCCTAAGTTGAGAAAACTCAAAAATGTCCTGCAGCTGGTTGCCTTAAACTAAAGTTCTCAATTTTTTTTTTTTTTTAAAGTGATACTGTATATTCATATCTTTTTAATTTTCATTCAGATTCTTAGTTCAATCCTGGGTGGCACTGGTACTCAGTGTCGTACATTTAGCCTTACACATTCACACGTAACCCAGCAGTGAACCCTTCAGATATGACACAAAAGATCCCGCAAACCTCATTTCTCATCTAAAACTGGAGAAAGGTAAGGAGAGGCTTTGTAGAAGCATTAGATGGATGAGAGTTATTGATACCCTGGGCCAATCTACCTCCAAGCCCCTTCCTCATCAACCCTTGACTCAGAGAGGGAGCACAAGTCCTCTCCTTACCTTAGAAGGGCTCTCAGCGGCAGACGCAGAAGAGCTGTCTGAAAGAAGACCCTTGAAAATGTTCACCTGTGATACTGCTTTTTAACCTCTTAGGTTTCTCTGCGGTTTCAAGAGATGCGGCGAGGAAAGCTCTGTCTTTCAGAAGAGCAAAAAAAAAAAAGTAAAAGCTTCTGTGAGGAGACTTGAGAGAGGCTTGTTCTTTTATGTCTCAAAGGGACACGGTGAAACTTGAGTCGTGGAACTGTCTGTTCTGAGATACACAGCTTGCCAAGATCTTGAGACATTTCATTCAAGGCTGAGTGTCATATCTGTTTTACTAATAACTGAGCAGCATCTGTCAAAATATTCTATATGATCGTCAAGTAAAAGCATTGGAGATATCAAAGCAGGCGGAAGACGTTGAGGTATTGTGTGTTTAATCAAAATAAACCTGACTAATCTTTCATACTGTTTACAACAAGTAAGCTTTCAGCCGTAACCATTACTGACCATGACAAGAACTTGAGGGAAGGGTCCTCTGGAGTTCTCTGGCACGTTGATTGGTGGAATGACCCAGTCTCGCTTCTGTCGCCGCAACCCATTGGACGAGCCTCGCTGGTGTTGTCGTGGAAACGTAATGACCCTGGGATTTTGATAGTGGATGTGGGAGGATTCGCCATTGATACCATCCCCAGCAATCTGTGGAGAACAGATAAGTACACTCCATATGAAGCAGATCTTCACATTCACACACATAGAAGGTACGTTAAAAAGAAACTTCAAAGAAGCTGACGCTATAAATTAGATCATGATGATTGAAACGAAAAATCCTAAATGAGTTCTCTTTGATTTCTCAAATGTTTTTCATGCACAACAAAGAGGTTAAATGTGGAGCAAATGGTGCTGCTACTCTGTTTGGAATACTTCCTTTGTTTTGTATTAATGAAGTTATTTTGTTATTAGCACACTAACCTTCTTCCCCCTCTTTTTCATGGACAAAACCATGCCACATTGAGAAAATAAAATCACAACGGAGAACTCTTTTAAGTCTTCAGAGTTATAAAAAAGCAATTTAGACCGTACAATAGAAGGTTTGAAGAGACAAACACACCTGTCTAATTACTACTAATCAATAATCATTATTTGTGAGGCAACGGTAACAAACAGTCGTGGGACGGTACGTGCACACCTGAGCCCCGAGCCAAGACCGTAAACAGAGCTGTGGGGTTTCTGCTAAAACGACCAATCAAAATGACAAATCGCGTCAAGGCCTTTGTAAACCAGCCCTTATAACACAGCAATACCACAGTGACGCATACCATGACATTTCCTCATGGGTACCCAATGAAAAAGATTGATGGAATACCACATCAATAATTTAGACAAGAAAAACTAGAGCTGCCGCTGACCCTTACTTGATTCATCCAAAGGCCAAGGAAAGGGCTGAAGCGACCAATCAAACAGCCACCGTTTTTCAAAGCAGCTGACTGTGTGTGTGGGGAACGGGACTGTCCTGCGGTTCATTTAATGTCTTTAGCGCTCATCTCGGAATTGTCAGCTTTTCATCCAATACCGTGTTGCTGTTTCTCCCCCTGACACCACGACGTCTGTGGCACTGCATTTTCAAGCCGAGGCACATTTGCTAAATCCCAGTTCTCTCTCTCTCTCTCTCTCTCTCTCGGTCTGTCTCCCGTCCCCCTGGCGGGGGCTGCCAACTCAAGCATGCGTAGGCAGGTCAGCCTATCAATGTCTCACAAACACGGTTTGTCGGCAGAAGAGCTCGAACAGATGTGAGGCAAATCTGAGCAAACATATTGTATTTTTTTCCCTCTTTTGTTTTAATTTTTCACAGCTTGATGGCTCTGGCTGCAGGGGCTCGGAAAATGGAGGGATTGTGTCGTGGCAGGGAGGGAGCGGTGATCGAGTGAGGAGGGCAGCTGTGAGGCGCTGATAAAATCACTTCCGCCTCAGCTCTGCTCATCCACGAAGCTCACAGGTACCTGCTGCAGCACGAGAGAGAAGCTTCAACGAGACCTTTCGGGGGGTGGCAGGTGGAATTACTGTGCATAAAAGGGTGAAATAGAGAAAGAAGAGGTTGGAGAATGAAAAAAGAGATCGAAGGGAAATCAAGTTGAGCAGTGAAGGCAAAATAATCCTCCCAAACAAAAGATAAATCATGAGAAGACATTCAAAACTTCTGGATCTACAGTGCCAATTCGCCACGTGGTGACACCTGGAAGCTATGGGTGATGCGGAAAATGCGGATAGAAAATGCTGTGGGGAATTCGGTATTAAAAATAGAATTTACCGATTTTTTTAAATAATAATAACAACAACAACATTTGTAAAACTTCAATGAATATCCACCGTTTTTATTTCGTATTTCATTTTAATAGTAAACCTGTTGTGCAGCACTTTGTTAAATAAAAAGCACTTGCATTTTAATTTGATTGCATTTTAAAAGATTAATCAAATTGCTATTCTGTTATGCCTTCATTCAATACAACACATTCTCACCCCAAGGCGTCACCTTTGACCATGCTTCAATATTTGACGTTTTAGGCGCCCTTTAGCGTCACTTACATGACGCGATCCTACGGCGTCATCTAACTGACGCTATAGGAAAGCGTCAGTTAGAGGACGCGATTAGGTTTAGGTCTGGGGTGAGGGTAGGGTACACGCGATCCTAGGGCGTCATCTAACTGACGCTAAAGGGCGCCTAAAGCGTCAGATATTGAAGCATGGTCAAATGCTTCCCAAGGCGTCAGTTAGGTGACGCCTTGGGAGTGAGAATGGGCTGTTCAATAATTAATTTGAATTAAATCATAAATCACAACAAAGAACTCCTGAAAAGACATAATTTCATCACAAGTATAAAAATGTTAATAAATCATTAAATCGTTCGTTTTATTCTTTAAAGCAGAATTAATATAAAAAAGAAAAATATATATATATATATACTATATACTAAAAATGGAAGAAAGAAGGAATTTTTGGGGAGAAAGGATTTCATAGGTCTCTAGACACCACATGCCCGGTCAGCAATGTGACCTTCGTGAGGCATTCAGAGACACACGCCGAATGTGTTCGAACACAGACAAAAGCCTTATCTCTCCCCTCACAGATCTGTTCATTAACGCAGGCTATTCATCATCTCGATCTGTCTCTCACTCCATCCCTATCGTTTTTTGCCTGCTGACAAACATTGGGACAGACATTGGGAGCTGTGATAAAGACCTTGATTTATCAATCAGCTCTCACTGGCACCAAGGAAGCATTCCTCCGAATGTGTAGCCAACAGCACAGGAAGATCCAGGCTGGTTTCATGCATCGCGTGGCGGTGCCAATGAAAGGCGCAGACTTACAACAGCATGCCTAATGAAAAGTCTTATTCCTCTGGTAGGGCAACAAGCACTGCACCCATTAGAACAGACAGTGAGGAGAGAATAAACTAGAACAAGCATGTTGTGTTGTGGGACGGTGCACGGCAGATGTAGGGAATGTGCAGCTATGTATACGTGCATGCATGCGTGTGTGTGGGCGCATTTGGGAGTCAGCGTGTGTGAAATGGCTGCCTGGATTGCCCTGAGCTCCCGTAGCTCCAGAAGAACCAGCCCTGCCAGCTGGCTCCCCATCGCTCCCTGCTGAGAAGAAACCCGTTTGGGCATCAGTCAGCCTGCAGCTCTGCAGCAGACATCTGGAGGTTATTGTTCTATAGGGCCGCATTGCACTGCTTGCAACCCTGTCTGGAGTTTTTCCATTACACGCCAGTATGCCACACGCCACTCATTTGCTACTTTGGTAATCAGCCCCACGTCGTTGGGAGGAGGCGGAAATGCACCTGGATTTGAAGGGATACTTCCCCTCTGGAAAGATGAATGTGCTTTTAAAATGGGTCATTTATGTAGAAGAAATGTGAAAGTATTTTTGAAGTCTAGACTGAGAAAAGCCAGAAAATGTATTTTTGGCTTATGTGGATGAAAGACAACAACTCCCAGAATGCACTTGTTTCGCTGCCCTATAAGGCCACGCCTACCGGTAACAGAGCGCAGTAGTTAAACAACAAGTCTAGGCTAGTGAGTGTCCGTAGTGCCCGAAAATGTGTTTCGAGATCGCCCAAAATGTCCGGGATTCGGCTTTTGCGTTATACATTTTGCGTTCTACACAGGGAGAACAGCGCGAGGCCGGTGGCACGATTCTAATGAGTGACACCCGTGAGACACACCGGTCTCGTATATCTCTCACGAAGGAGCGGGAATTTTCTTCGGAATGAATTCAGTTAGATTGAAACAAAAGGTGTGAATGTAAACAATGAATGGCGACTGCAGAAAGCTGAATCCCGGATATTGACGGCCGTACATGTCCAGGAAAAAGAGGATGGTCATCCCTACTATTCAGCTTTCTCCACAGAACAAGAACCTGCTAGCTTAGCTTCCAAAAAAGATGGCTGATAGTATATGTACATTCTGTGGGTGAGATCCCACCCTCTATAGACAGGTTGAAAACATGACTACTGGCTGTAGTCTTTAGCCTCTGGCGAAAAAATCCGCAAAATGACGCTTTTTGTGTCATTGGAGGATTTTTTTCCAGACAAAAAACTCCATAAATCTCTCATCTCAGGGGGATATGAGGGTGGAAAGCATTGCAATTCGAAAATACTACAGGTTTTCTATTACAAAGCTTAATGCTAAATCCTGAAGTATCCCTGTGTTTATAATTGATTCGTACTGCATAGCGTTTCAGTAATAGTGTCAAATGAGTCTTATGAGTCAGCGTTATTTTAGAATTTTTTACATTATAGAATTTAGAAATATTAGAATTCAGTAAACTCCAATTCATGAACACATTGTTTCTTTTTTTGTGAATCAAAAAACATACATTATGACCAGAGAATTCCTACATTCTTAAACAAATGAAACATACGAGCCTGTTCTTTTCAGTGAATTGCAGATGTGTGAACAAAATGTGTGGGGAAAATAAAATCAAATAAACTAACATGCAATCAGTATTAATCCTACAACTGAATTAATGACTTTTTTTTTAATAATTCAAAAACATACACCACTAGCTGCAGTGTAGTCCAATTCCCTAACAAATTAGTCTTATGAGACTGTTCTTTTCATTCAATAAAAAACAAACATAATAAGAGAACACCAGTTCATAAACTAATACATCGATGAGCAAAAACAGAAATAGGAGACCTGTTAATTTCTATAGTTTAAAGAAAAGCAAACATGAATTGCAAACTCCAGTTTCGTGCAGATGAGGCTCACATCGAGCTAAATGCCAGCCAAAGAACAGTACTGGGTATTTTTAGATCTGTACCATCCAAAAGCATAGAAACATTGCTCAATAAAACATGTTGTGGGATAAAGCGACTGCACTGTTGTGGTGAACTCTAAAGCACTCTCTGGAACTTGTCAGCCCAGAAGGACATCCAACAGAATAGACAAGAATGAAAGCTGCATTAGGATCAAACCAATAAAAGTCATGCCATCCAGGCAAATGCCATGCAAGTTGATAATCAACTACATGCAACCTACTGACATTTACGCTCAGCAGAGGCTCACATGAGGGATATCTTTGCGGATACACACTTAATGAAATCTAGCTTCCATATCAATGTCTTTCAAATCATCTCTGCAAGTTCAAACTTCAAAGTAACAAAAGACTTGCTTACTTTGTAATTGAGGCATCTTAGTTTAATTACTTTTATGGAAAACAAGTCATTGCGGTGTGTGTGTGTGTGTGTGCACGTGTTTATTTATGTGACGTGTGTTCTCTTAAGATGGTGTTGATCTTAATTTAATTTCTTTCAGCTCTACCTCTAAATATATCTCATTTCAAGCATTTCAATCAAGAGGCCAAATAGAATAAATAAATCTAAAAGTAAATACTAAATCTATATTTTCTAATGGGAGGTCAAGCTTCCAATCAGCAAAAAATAATTCAATGTAACATGCCCATAACCCCTTACTAAAGAGGTACTATGATTGTAAGAGATGGTTATACCATGGTACTTATTTGCCATGACTGTCACTATCAAATACCATGGTTATTAGCACTGCAAAGAAATCTATAAAAAGTATTATCTTTGTATGTAAAATAATATTTATAATGATCTAAAATGAAATAATGAATTACATTACCAATAAACATGATTTTGTATATTTAATTAATTACAACTATTATTATTCAATTGACAATGCATATATTTATATATATATATATATATATATATATATATATATATATATATACACAGTATATATATATATATATATATATATATATATATATATATTAATTTGTATATATAAATACCCACACATGCATGTATATATTTAAGAAAAATGTGTTATTAATATATCAAATATTTATATTTATATATAATATTAATTGTGAATAAATATATATAAAATATATACATGCAAATATTTCTTAAATATATACATGCATGTGTGGGTATTTATATGTACAAATTAATTATACACACTACACAAACATATATTATGTAAACACAAACTTTTATTTTGGATGCGATTAATCGCGATTAATCGTTGCCCAGCCCTAATATATATATATATATATATATATATATATTAGTGCTGTCAAACGATTAAAATATTTAATCGAGATTAATCACATTAGTTAACTCGCGATTAATTGCACATTTAAATCTGTTCTAAATGTCTCTTGATTTCTTTTTATTCCATTATTTTTTTCTCTATTTAATGTTCTTATCAACATGGAAAAGTGGATCGGCTTGCTTTGTGCAAATGTTTTTTTTTAATTGAAAACAACATTGGCATCATAGTCTATGGTTGGCATATACAGTGTTCAATTTCACACTAATATTCTCACTTGGAGCAAATAAACTCTCACACTCTGTAACACTGTCCATCAATAAAGGGGTGAAAGAAATACTGACGAGGTCCTGATATTGACGAGAGGGCAGAGAATTCGTATCAGCTGTGTGTGTGTGCTTGGCCATCATCAAGTGGTATTTCAGACAGGACGTGTAGCGATGATAATAGCTCAGTTCACAACAATTAAACACAGATCACTTTGGTCTTGTCAATAGAATTTGACAACTTTTAAAAGTAAAATTTCCATTCAGAATCTTACTGGCATTCATTCCGGGCGTCTCGTGCTCGTCATCCACTCAAAACATAATGTTAACCTACTATTTGGTCAGCTCGCAAGCCAAACCACGTGTGTGTGTGTGGTGTGCCTGTTGTTTTGTTTCCGGTATAGCTAGATCCGCTTGCGCTTTGGTCGACGAAGCAACAAAACGTCCTCGCCATTGAAATGAATAGGTTTCATAGCGCAGCACATCCTGTTATTATTATTATTTATATTTTTAATTAACTATTAAATTATAACTTTTTTTTAGAAATAATGTATTATATAAACAATTAATTAGAGTAATAATTAAAAAAAAAACTGTTATTGACTAGGCAGATGCTAATATGGCTAGTACCTACATGTCTTTCAGCAAATCAGTTAAAGAGTGCTGGGCAAACCTTATGTTACCCAATTAATATTCATTAGCACAACTGATAAGCTTTGTATTAATGTCCCTTTAATTTGTCAGATTGTTCCTTTGCCCTGCTTTTTGGGACTTCAGTGAGTGATTCAAGGAGAATTGACTCATGACAACAGATAGGAAATTCTGGCACGTAAATAGATGCAAACACATATTAAATTCTGTAATACCCTGAGAGCTAAATCAGTGCATTTTTATTTAGATAATTTTTTTTTCATTAATTATTCATAATCTCAACTAGGTCAAAGAGTTGCAAAGAGTCACATCTCCCATGAACTCCCATGTATCTTCCTGCTGTGTGTGTGCGTTTGTCCTTCAGGAACCAGCCTGAACCGGCAAGGAGACATTTCTCTCAATGGTTGTGCAGAAAGAGAGGACATGTGTGGGGTTAGGGACACGGGGATAGGGCTCGCCAGACCAGACTCCTGGATCCCTAGAGGACCTGCATTCCTGCCTCTCTGCTTGGCATTTCTAGGTCACTTTGGATGCAGAAACAGTCCGATGCCAGTGGGAAAGACATCTATATAAAACCTCTACACCTCATCTGCTCTACACCAGAGCACAGGACATGAGCATGACAGCCACATGTATTAAAAGTTTAATGATAGTTGCCAAGCAGGACACGTTGTGGCAGAAGTGAGTGAGTAAGTGTGTGTGTGTGTGCGCATTGGACGAAAATGACTTGGATGAAATATTACTCCTTTCATCTTTTGTATAAAAATTACATTTGAGCATTCACTTTCATAATCAGATCATGACATTTGGTGTGTTGCCAAGGGCTTGTGCAAACCCTTTAAAAGCACTCAACACGTGACGACGGCGTCTCTGCGTACTGTACATGCACGAGATGGCGAAATAAAATGTAATCAATTTAAAAATTGTAACTAGTTTTCAAATTCTGATGATAGCTTAAACGTAATAACATCTTGCTCTGTTATTGAATCTCATTCTTGCTGTTGCTATACGGGCAAATAATTACACTGAGATGGCATAGCGAACCCCCCTAAAACCATGAACTCAATCGATGTACATTATTTCATGCACTCCATTACTGAGCTGCTACTAATGGCTTTTCACAACAGAAGAGAACACAAAAAAATACACATGCAAACTAAAAATAATACAATTATTCTAAAATAAAAGATTCTGTAATGTTTTTGAAAGCAGTGTCCTATGCTAACCATGCATATCTTAGATAAATAAATACAGACATATTCTGAAATAATATTACAAATGAAAAATAACTGTTTAACAACTATGATTTATACACCTCATGGCAGGGCAACATTTTATCAGCCATTCCTCCAGTCTTTAGTTTTGTTAGTTCTGTTTAAAAATTCTCAGAGCATAAAGTCTTAAATAAAAATACTTATCCCAAAATTTTGACTGGTGGTATATATAATTAATATGCAAGTATAAATTATATACTATGGTATACCGTTCAAAAGTAACTGATTAAAACTGACAGTAAATATAAATAAATGCGGTTTGAACTTTCTATTCATTAAACAATTCTGAAAAAATTAAAATCATATTTCCACAAAAATATTCAGCTTCACCATAACGGGTAGCATGTACCTACAGTATATATAAAAGAATATAAAAAAAAGATAGCATGTACCTACAGTATATATAAAACAAACTTATAAACCTTATTCTAAACCACAAAAGTATATTAAGTGGTTCAAGCTAAATTAATTTCAGCAAACAGACAACTGACACAAATAAATATAAAAAAAAATAATATTTGATATAAATTACATATCCTTGCCTGGTTAATAGGAGGAGAAAGCGGGTGTCCTGCGAGGGCCAGTTTAACAGTGGTCTCCCAGATATACTTGCCCACGCTGTCTCTGGCCGTCACCATGAACTGAATCGGTTCGGTTAGATTCATCACATCTTGCTCTGCGTACAGAGAGCCATCCGGCCGAACGCTGAACTTTGGGTCACTGCTCTCAAAAGAAACCTCCTCTATTTGCGGACAGGTTTCGAACTCCACTGCAGGGAAAGAGAGAAAGAGAGGGTAAAGGGTGAGAAAAACATAAAATAACAATGAAACTATTATTGCTTACAGATGCAAAAAACTGTTCAAAGCGGGTACTGGGTGATATATAATGCAAGACACCATTAGTCTAAATGACTTACATCTAATAATGTTTATATAAAAAACAAAAAATTAAAGTCAACTCTTAGATACAGACTCCTCTGACAGCAGAAGTGTCACAATTCAGTTTTTTCTGAAAATGTAAAAAGGTAGCAAACAGAATGAGTGAGTCATATGCTTTCTCTCGCTATGGTTGTTTGGAAAGGTTTCCGGTCAACAACAGCAGATGGTCCGTTCAGTTACACCTGAGGGAAAGTTCCACAGCTTCAGCTCTACTTAAAGTGAGCGAGCCAGCAACAGAGCGAGAGAAGGAGAGGGAGCCATGTGCCACGTCTAGATTAATCACAGTTTAAATATTAAAGCTCTATTTCACATACAGTACACCAGAAGTTCATTCCTACAACTTTAGTAGACCATATGGGAGACTAAGGCTAGTTTTCACAAATTGTACACCAGAAAATATTTCTCAGTATAGACACATTTATTAAAGATTCTTGTTTATAAAAAGCTACTGAACAATTGCACTGTTAATGCTCAGGGGGAAAAAAAAATAGATAACGTAGACTCACTGTATTCCGGACATCACGGTATTCCGGACACTAGACCGTTTCCGCAAATTCTATAAATAGACACTTCATGGTCATTTCATCTTATGTCTTCTTTGCCTCATCCTCGCTTGCAACTGACCCAGCTTATAGTTGTTAAAATGTATGCGTTATATATTAGAAATGACTCCTTCTACCTGTCCGAAACACAGCGAGTAGAATTTTTCAGCCGTCCGGAATACCGTGAGTCAACGTTACAGTTTAGTGAACATTGACAATAACAGAGCTTGTTGTCACACTACTGTATATGTGATAAGTGCAACTAGGGCTACAGCTAACAATTAATTGATTAATCAGTCTTTTTTGTGATTAATCAGAAGAAGAATCAAAAACATACATGATGTATGTTAACATTAATGGTATTCCACAATGGTATTTGAAAACAAAATGCATTTATGTAGGCTATGCTGTACAATGAAACAAAATAACAATAATTAAAAAAAAGGTTAAGTATAAACATTATATTATGAACAAAAAACTGATTGCTTAGTATTTTAAAGCAGAAACTAAAACGACTAAATTTAAAATTAAATAAAAAAAAGTAGCCAACAAAATATAACCTGACAATTTATGAAAAACACAAAATCACTTTTCAAAACATGTACTGGTACTGCTCTTACAAATATGATTACTTGTGTTACATGTATATTTTTAAACCTACACTTAACAGATATAAGCATATTGGTGTAACCATAGATATCTATATAAAGGCTATAGATGTCTTAAGGCAGAGTTTCGGCGGCCATCTTGTCACAGGTAAGCTGATGTAAGATTAGTGGTCAGAACGAACACAAATACTTTTATCTCGTTGAAATCTTGACAGATTTACAAACCGTTTGGTTTCTTACAAACGTTATTAACGTGGCAGACACGACTAATCGATAATGTAATTCGTTGTTGATTATTTTCATTATCGATAATAATCGATTTTATTGATTAGTTTTGCAGCCCTAAATGCAACATTTATGCATTTGACAGATGTTTTTATCTAAAGTGATTTACATTGCATTTAAGTTATTTTATTAAGTTATTCCACATATTCCATGGGAATCGAACCTTTGACCTTAGCAATGTTAGTGCAAGTGCATGTTACTTTTACAGCTACAAAAAGACAGAAAGAAAGAAAGAAAGAAAGAAAGAAAGAAAGAAAGAAAGAAAGAAAGAAAGAAAGAAAGAAAGAAAGAAAGAAAGGCAAGGTCAAGCAATTGTTTTAAATATTAGACTTTAAAAATCTTTTCAAATTATAAGTAACATTTAAAACTTGCATGACCCAGAAGCTACTATAGGATGAACATTATTGAAATTTGAGTTGAGGACACAATTTAAAAAAAAAATAAAATAAAAATAATATTTCAATATAAGAGCTAGGTGTTTGAAACCAATATAAAACCACCAGAGAAAGTGCACAATTTAACCGCCACAGACGCATAGCCCTTGTGACAACTAGCCCCAGTCTCCATTATTTATTACAGACACATTCCAGTTGCACAGAACCATAGTCTTCACAGACCACTAGTAGAGGGTCAAAGCATTCCAAATAGATTTGAGTGCCGCTTCTCTCATCTCTTTCATCCCTCAGGACTGAAAAGAAAGAAAGATGGAACTAAGATCACTTCCTACTGATTTTATCTCTCTTCCAAAACCATGCTGATAACAAGACAAATTGATTTCATAAATCACTGCGGGACCAAGTCACTTGTTAAGAGTGCTGGGCGAAAATGTTTGAAGAAAAATAAAATCCGTCCATGAAATATCTTGCACGACAAGCTTTTTAATCAAGCCATCTATCCAATTTACCACATGGTTTCCTGCCAGAAGATGCGCCAAAACAACAGGCTAATAAAGCGTAGAATCCATTTCACCAATTGCGCCATGGCTCGCTCAATGCTCCGGAGTTTTGCCTGGTGAATAATTGCAAATGGGAGAGGTGTAGATGCTCTTGTGCACTTTTAAGAATGAGCACCAAAACACTGACACACGAAAAACACACTGCCTACTTTAAAAAGCACTGCTAAACACAGACAAAAAAACAAACAAAGTGCATTATACTTGGATTATCAAAACATTTTACTCTGTCAGTTCTCCTGAAGATGTCTAAAAGTTTTAAATCAAGAATCAGAATGAATTTGCTACTTGGCAAATGTAACAAATGGTCTGAATACACTTCCTGTTGTTGATGGGAATATATATATGTATATATTAGGGCTGTGCAAAAATTAATTGCGATTAATCGCATCCAAAATAAAAGTCTGTGTTTACATAATATATTTGTGTGTGCTGTATATAATTATTTTGTATATATAAATACCTATGCATGCATGTATATATTTAAGAATTATTTGCGCTTAAATTCTGTATATATATATAAATACATAATCTATATTATATAAATATAAATATTTTATATATGAATAACACATTTTCTTAAATATATACATGCATGTGTTTGTATTTATATATACAAAATAATTATATACAGCACACACAAATATATTATGTAAACACAGACTTTTATTTTGGATGCGATTAATCACAATTAATTTTTGCACAGCCCTAGTATATATATATATATATATATATATATATATATTCATTAATTAATGTTAAGCATCAACAAAAAACTTCTGCCATCAGGGAAAGATCAAAAAACACAAGCATGATAAAAAAAAGAGAGAGATTGGTGTTTCTGTGAAGCAACAATGACAGCCATTGTTTTTGTAAATTATGCTAATTTGCTTTAATTGAACATGCTAATTATTGTCATTGAAGGCTTTTTATCACCCCACAACTGACATACAGAGTAAACCTGTGAATCAGGGGACAGAGGCTAAACTTTGGGTATTTGCATAAGAAAAACACTGTTGGCCAACATGATATTGTCGTGCTATGAGATGGGATTTTGACATTGGGAACACAAGAATGGTCAGCCTTAAAGTGTTATTATCAAACTGAGGATGCCTAACCAAAATTCTCCTGTTTTCTCTATTGGTCTCTCGCTTTTTTTTTTCATAAAGACAAACAGGATTGTTCAGAACTCCTCCCACTAGTCTCAGTCTCGGATGGCACATCCATACAGTACACATCTTATAGTCCATTTGCTGTATTATGCATATACCATGCATACTGATATCACAAATATGTAGCATACTAGATCACAAATATGTTTGTGCTAGTCTTTTCAATGTGTTGACAGTCTCCAGATACAGATCACTCTTGGAAAAAACATGAAATTTAAATTTTCTCTAACAGTTTAATAAACAAGATGTAAATATTGAAGTAACTTGCATATCAGACAGCATAATGCCTGTTCGTCTCTGCCAACAAAAATATCTCCAAATATAGTTCAATCAAACACTGCACAACTCCAAGCAGCATACAATAGTGATGCACATTTCGGAAATTTTACCTTTCACTGTGAAGATCTAAACATATTTAGATATATAGGAAACCGCAATGAAAGACGATTTCAATATATCTAAATATGTTTAGTGAAAGGTAAAACTTCCGAAATCTCTGTGTAAACAATGAGTGACGTACACACGCAAGCATTCGCAGACCGAAGCACCCATGCTGTCAGACCAGTTGGACATGGCTGTGGTTACACGAGGTAAAAACGATATAAATACTGTTCGCTTTCTCACACAAACTGCTCGTTTCGTGTCTTAGGCCATCAATATGTACTTACATTTATGAGTTATTAAATCATGTTTAATTTGGACTTCTCTGTGCATGCTCTGAAGGTGAACCGAGGGTGGACCCCCTAAACCTCCATTATATGACTGATAGACAACAACAGTTTGACCGAAAAATATCAAAATTGAAAATACTGTGGAAACAAAGACACTTACAGTACATCTTGGATGCCCTTGAGGTAAGCTAAAACTAGGGCTGCAGCTATCGATTCTTTTTGTAATCGATTAATCTAGCACTTAATCGATCGATTAATCGAGTAACCGGATAATTTGTTTGTGTGTTTTTAAGCAACCAAAACAAATAATGTATTACGAAAATGATAAGGTGTTTGGTTTTTATTTTATTTTTTTTAAAAATAGAGGTATTTATTCCAACTGCAACATTTGGCTCCACAACTAATTATTGCAATTTTTACCCATTTAGTGTTTATAAGTGCCAGTGCCAACAATTATATAACAATACAGTTAAAACAATTTACTGTAAAACCTGTTACATGTAGCCCATAACATGTACAACTTTGAATACAAACTTAAATAGTAAAGCCCATTTGGCCTTAGTTTTGTCTTCTTAATACAACATTACAAAAAAAGGATTGC